ATTTTTCATATATTCCACATTAATACCTACTTAAGCAATTAAGTATCCAGATATTCAAATAATATAAATTTAACGATATAAATATAAATTGAAATAGAATTCATTGATCAGTCGATTTGGATAACTTACAATTTCAATTTTCCACGAACTTTATTAATTCATGTAGGTATTCATTCATACGTATTTTCAACGATTTCAGTTTTTAGTTTATTTATTCAGTAAATGTTATGTACCAGCCACTGAAACAATGGCAAAAACACGAAGACGTAGATCTCAAATATTTGAACAATGATCATCTCAGGGTTAAATTATTTATTTTTGTTATGAGATGAAAGTTTACAATTTTGAAATTTTAGAGAAACTTATGCATAGTAGTATTTATTTTTATAGTTCAATTTATTGCGAAAACAATATACTTTATCGTATTTTATACATATGAATTTGTAGTGTTAGATGCTTCAAGCAAAATTCCTAGCGGCTATCAGCAAGGAAATTATAGAGATTTGGGAAACTTTGACGAATGTATAAATATAAATCATCAAGGCAATGCAAGCATTAAAGGAAAATATTGTTATTCTGGAATTGTTACAGTTTTACCTAAATATGTCAATTTAACAACTTCAATTGGTACCTACAACCCAATTAATGTCAGTTATATAAGCCAAATAATCAACGTGAGTAACTTTTTCTTTCGTCTTATTTTAGCTTACAAAATTGTCAGTTATTTATATAAAAATTCAACGAAAATAATAACTTGTTTCTAAAATGGATTAATTAGAGAAATCCACTGAATCTTACAATGATTTTAGACGATACATATCCAAAATCTAAATTGCAAATGGTTCAAATATTTGACTTAAATTTGCGCAATACGTTACCTACTATATGTCTAGCCATATTGAAAATTATATGCTTTTTCAAAAGTTCATTAAGGTGCCCTAAATTTTTTTTAGAGCAATTTTACATTATTTGATATTTTTAATTTATTTTAACTTCAAGGCTCAGACTTCAGACTTCTTTAACCTATTGGGTATAACGGTCAGACTAAATATACTTCAACTTATTATTTTAATTTTTAATTGTTTATTACCTAATTATTATTATCTTGAACCTTGCTTTTCTCAAACTCAAAGGCTAGGCACGTCTTTACTAGTCCTTCCGAAAAATATGAAACGTTTACTACTTTTAGTCAATTGAAAACACACAAGTAATGTCAATTCTCAAAAACGAATNCGCCATTTGTGGTATTTTCTAAAACGCGCTGTTAAGACAGCAGGTAATGGTTGGTCTGTGTTCTGTCGGAGCTGCCTGCGACGCGCTGATGAGATCCAAAAAGATCGAAATCGCGATCCGCGTCTGGCAGTATCGACAGAATACAGACCACTTCGAATTATTTTGTTAGTATTATTGTAGTTCTTTCATTTCAATAACTCGTTTGTCTCAAATATTTCTGCCGTCGAAATTGACTCTTAGGTGTGAACATAATAATCAACTCATTTCCTGATGGGCCGCTATAACTTATCACAGGTGTTTCAAATTGTATCACAACGTCGAAGGAACGTGGCATCCTCGCGATTTCCTTCTTGCGTCATCGGTCATCATTAACGTTCAGATTAACAACTGGAATTCATCCGTCGACACGAATATAAAGAATGAAGAAACGAGGCGTCTCGTCCTCAGCGCCATGACATTCTTTCGTCCTCTCGTAACGCAGTAGTAATGACTCCATCCGGACGAAGCAGTTGCGTTTGGGGATCCACTGTCCCACTTGTCCGAAGGATGCAAGGTTGCACATGGAGTCGACGAGCGAGTTCCGAACGTGCTTGAAACCGTTTTTTGTACCTACGTGAATGTGTGATTAATATATTCATATATAAAATAAAACTACATTTTATTTATTTTACAAAAAACTTGTTATAAAAAGACATTACGTACATATAATTATCATTTTTCTATATTAATAAAATCTGGAATTTTAGTCTGTTTGGAACACTTCTGTCGTGTGTACAGACTTTGTAGTTCACGTTTAATTTTAATTAATGTAACATCATAATTTCCTTGCATATGAAACTGTCCATTAGAATAAAAAACAATTTTTCGTAATACACTGACAGCAATAAGACCATCATTCAAAGTTGGCACTGTAAATTGTTCTTCAGTCTCTTCCTGTTCGTCATTTTCCTCTTGAACTTCTTGTACAATATCATCTCCCGTAGCTGGTGCACAAATTGCAATAGAATTATCCACATCAATAAACACCTCAGCTTCAGTAGTAGATATTCTGAGATTTACACTAGATCCTAAACTCGACACGTTTTTGTTTACTTTTGCGATCTTAATGGTCATTTACTGTACCAGATATGGATACCTATTCAAATGTTTACAATACAGCTGGTCGTTTTAACAGGTATAATTCACCGAAAATATCAGTTAAATGTAGTCACTTAAAGAGATATGTCGTAATAAGCAATGTCGTAAAAACCAACGTTTTTTATAAGGCGATCTAACACAATTCAGTCGAGACCTATGATTTTGGTCAATATAACCGGAATGTTGTTCTAAACGATGTCGTAGTAAACGGTTTTGACTGTATATGTAATACTAGGTATTAGACCAAGACAGTCTTGATCTTGGTCCTGCTTGCTAATCACTACTTTAGTGCTGTTTAATCATCAAATTTTTTTCCAAATCCTATAATAACTAAACTATTGTACTTACTGAATAATTGGTTCACCTATAATAATGTTACTGTATATACCAGAGATAAACAAAATGCAAAAACAACCATTGAATTATTTCCATCTCAATATCTCGTCATTTTCGATAAACTTATTTTTTGTAGAACAATTTTAGTCCTCATAGCGCTTGTTATGGTTATAAGTACCATTTACGACATCTACCTTAAAACCGAGGATAAAAGTAAGTTTAAATTTTTGAATAAAATAACTAAAACCGATCCTTCTATATGTTCTTTTAGAACCTAGCCATAAAATATTTATTTCGTACTCTATTCTTACCAATGGAAAGTTGCTGTTTAGCACTTCAAAAAGTTCACATCATCTTTTGTGCTTAGGAGGACTAAAAACATTAAGTATCTTTTGGGTTATGTTAGGCCACAGATACACATCATCGGAAGATATAATGGCAATTAATTTCAACGATATTCAAACGGTAAATATTTTTGTTTTTCGTTAAAAACCACTTTGAAATGGCTATTTATATACGTATTAAGGTTGCTCTTAAAAAAATAAAACAACTACTCTGTAATTAATGTCAATTAACAGTTTCCGATACTCGTAACTAACTTAGTCCAACCCTAGACAAAAATTTTCAGTTTCTCTCCAGTCTCTCATAGTCTTTCAGCGTCTCTAAGAGCGTCTCTCGCAGTCTCTGTATGAGAAACTCGAACGATAAAATTGTTAATTTAGAGATTGGAGTCTCTCACAGAGAGACTGAATGAATATAAGTGAAAAATTGAGAGACTCGAGTCTCTCGTAGAAAGACTGGGATCTCTAAAATATGTTGAACTTAAAAAAATTTAACGATGTCTATCGAGACACCACTTATTGAGAGACTCGAGTCTCTCGCTCAGAAACTGGACGCAGAAATGAGGATCTTTCTATGAGAGATTCGAGTCTCTTGTTCAGAGACGCTAAACAGTTTTTTTGACAGTCTCTCGACAGTCTCTGTCATTGACAGCAGAGCGACTAGATGAGAGACGGAAACTTGAGTCTCGCTTTCAGAGACTCTGAGAGACTGAACATTTTTATCTCGGGAAAACAATTTAAAATTTCCTGCATTTTACCTACTTAAATAACACGAGCCCAGTGCTCACAAAAACCAGTACGGTTCTGCCTCATAGGCCTAATTCATCCCCCTCATACAAACAGAGAAAAAGTTGTTAAAATGAAACGAATACATAGCAACATTTATCATGTTACTCGTGGTCATTATATAGATCAGTATTCAGTACGATTTTCCTAACTGAACTTAAATTTTCCGAATGCTCTTATTACTTCCTTGATAAATTTTTTGACTTTTATTAACCCAGCACATACATCTGCTCGAAGCATTACCAAAACATCAAAATTAAATGCGATAACGGTAATTTTTGAAAGGTAGATGGCAAGACAACTCCGGAGCCAGTATATCCAAGGTGCACAGTATGCAGTGGATACTTTCCTAGTGTTATCAGGATGTCTCATTACATATTTAGTCATAAAACCAATGACGGAATTCAAAAATAGAATAGCAAATCAAAGCATGTCGAAAAAAGCTTCTTCGATAACTTCTATTACGTTATTAAATTATGTACATCGCTACTTAAGGTAATTGTAAATTTACTACTATTTAAAGACACTAAAAGAACAAAGGCTTTCACGGCCGGAATCCACAGTAGAATAAAGATTCGGGCTATAGGGCCGTGGTCTAAGTGAACTATTCTGTCCAGACGTTTCGTCAGCTACTGCGGCTGACATCCTCAGTGGTAGTGCTGCGCTGACAACGTGAACGTAGATTATATCTCGAAGTCTCGGCAGCGACTGGGTGGACCCACTTCGAGATATAATCTACGTTCACGTTGTCAGCGCAGCACTACCACTGAGGATGTCAGCCGCAGTAGCTGACGAAACGTCTGACCAGAATAGTTCACTTAGACTACGACCGTATATAACCCGAATCTTCATTCTACTAATTGTAAATTGATAAAAAAAGTTAATTTTTCACGGTTCTGTGTTGACTGAGTAATTCTTAATATCTAATCTTTATGGGTGTAGTCTAGGATTGTTTTCCCTTCAGTGGGAATACCGAAGGAGAAAACGCCAAAAAAGGATCTTAAGTAGGTTATTGTTATTTCCGATTTTAAGATGGCTGATTTGTCACGTAGATGCAGCTATAAAACTTATGTAACACTTTCAACTGATGTTCTCTTAACAAATTCTTATACAATTAAAGTAGCAGTTATGAATTTTTGCGTGAATTATCTTGACCATTTGTACCGTCTTATTAACAAGAAACGAGCGGTAAAGAAGTTAAAAGCTAGAAAGGTGTAGTCATGAGTGAAAGGGTGGGAGCAATTGCACTCTTTGCCACTCCGCTGGCTTTGCCATGATTGTATCGAAACTACATGTCAGTCTCAGTGCAATCACAACAAAGGACTTTACACCCTTGCTACGTTCCCTGTGGCTGAATTTAGACTGAAATGTGGTCTAATTTCAGTTACAGCGAAGAATTTCACACCCTTGCTACTGAGATGTAGTCTTTGTACAACCACAGCAAAAGGCGTTTTGCTCTTGCTACTTATAATTATACTTAGACTGAGATGTAGCCTAAATTCAACCACAACGAAGCATTTCACGCCCTCACTACTAACATGTAGTCTCAGTACAACCACAAGGATAGATGTTACACCCTTGCTGCGTTTCTTGTGACTGTAGTTAGACTTAGATGTAGCCTCACTGCAACTGCAGCGCGATGTTGTTTCAGTACAATCACAAGGAAGAACCTTACGCCCTTGATAAGTTCCCTGTGGCTATATCTAGACTGAGATGTAACCTAACTTCAACTACAGCGAAGGATTTCACGTCCTCGCTACTGAGATGTTGTCTCAATATAACCACATGGAAAGGCTTTACGCCCTTGCTACGTTCCCTGTGGCTGGATTTAGACTGAGATGTAGTCTAACTTCAACTACAGCGAAGAATTTCATCTTTCGCAACTGAGATGTAGTCCCAGTACAACCACAACGAAAGATGTTATACCCTTGCTACGTTTCCGATGGCTGTACTTGGACTGAGATGTATCCTTAGAGCGAGATATAGTTTCAGTATAATCACATGGAAGGATTTTACGTCCTTGCTACGTTCTCTATGGCTGTATTTAGATTAAGATGTAACGTAACTTCAACTACAGCATGGTAACATATTTCACGTCCTCCCTACTAAGATACAGTTTCAGTACAACCGATTTTACGTCCTCGCTATGTCCCCTGAGGATACCAACGACAGTTATGGTTAGCAAAACGTCGGTGTTCTCAGTCCTAGGTGAAACAATCCTAGACATCAAAACCGAATATCAAGCATTGCTCACGATCGGATTATTGTAAATTATTTTATCAATGCATAAATACGCATCGCATCCATTTCCCATACAAGAGAGAAGTAAGAACAAAAAAGTGGAATAAAATTGTTAAAAATTCGGTCATAGTATTTCTGGAAAAAACTTTGAACCCGTTAATTTATTTATTTGCTTTTAGTTACACAATTTTTAAACTAATTTTCATATATACTTGGTGAACCAGAATACCTACTCATTCTCACTCTATAATGAAGCCTAGGCTTTAAGTAATTCAATAATTAAAAATGCTTGGTAGGTGAAATGAGATTTAGAAGCTAATTAAGTATAATCACGAAATAGAAAGGCACTTAGCTATTGTATAAATTTTTCATTCATATATGCAAAGCCATTCTATCTTTATTGTTAATACTTATTCATAAAATTCTAATCATTTAAATAATTTATACGTCTTGATAATCGCTTTAAAAAGTAACCAAAACTGTAGTTTTATTTACGTATCTAAACATTGTAATCATGAGATGAAATAAAACAATTTCAGATTAACACCGCCAGTTGCTGTACTTTTTATGTATTACGTCACATTAGCTAGACGAGTAGGAAGTGGTCCAGGGTATAATTTCATTACAGATTCCCAAAGGCAGCCATGTGTTGATAATTGGTGGTCATTTTTTCTTTATGTAGAAAATTACGCACATACAAGAAACATGGTATGAAAAAACTCATGTGGTAATTTAATAAGAATAATTCCACTGTTCTGTTAATTATAACGTGATTATTAACATAAAATTCGGTCAAATGTGAATATAAATACAATTATTAATCTAAATACATACTGGAAACTATTTTGTAGGGTAGAAGTAGATGTTTAAATGGGGAAGAACCTCCTAATATTGGGAGCAGGGAGTGTAGATGAGAATTGGAAATGGGTAATTGTGTTTATGAAATAGCGTCGATCGGAAATGGGGACTGTGATAGGAATGACCTTTGTAGAATCATCATCATCATCATCATCATAAGGTTATCAGTCCTAAGACTGGTTGGTCACGTACCTCCACTCTTTCCTATCCTGAGCTAATCTTCGCATTTCCCTAAAACTAGAACAACCCACATCCTTAACTATTTGCGAACAGTAATCTAATCTAGGTCTACCTCTACCCCTCCTAACTCCTGTTTCTGCCTCTAATATGTCTCTGACTAGACCTTCATGCCTGAGAAGGTGTCCTACCAACCTATCTCGCCTATTTTTTATTGACTTCCATAGAGTCCTCTGTTCTCCTATTCTTTCCAATACCTCTTCATTTCTAACCTTTTCTACCCACGATATCCTCATCATCCGCCTATAACACCACATTTCGAACGCTTCTAACCTTTTCTTTTCCGCCGCGCCCACTGTCCATGTTTCGCACCCGTACAATGCCGTGCTCCAAACATATACCTTTAACAACCTTTTTCGAATTTCTAAATTAACCGTTCGCGAGCATAGAAGTGACTTCTTTTTATTAAAGGCGACACGACCCTGCGCTATTTTTAGGTAGCGGCAGAAAGGGTGGAGTTGAGGAATTCAATAAAAACAAATGGTTATTGTATAGATGATGAGACCGTCTATTGAATTTTCTCTCATTCTTTTTGTGTTGTGGAGGGGAACTTCTACCCACAACACTTTTTTTATGGTGGGGGGGGGAACTTTTACCCAACATAACCTTTCCTTTTCTTACTTTTTTGTGGGAGTGAAGAGACTTCTACCGTCCACAATCCAACCATTCCTCCTTAATGCATAAGATGGGTGAAAGTTCTCCCCTCTCCCACAAAAAAGAAAAGAGAAAATGCGACAGTCGTCTTATATTCTGTACCATTCACACTAACCCTTTATTTTTTTATTCATCTACATTCGTCCTCCACCTAAAAACAGACTAAATTACTATTTACCCTATTTTCAACTTTCAGCCCCAGCTTCTGCGCCTCCTTGAGCTCATTACGATTAATGCCATTTTTAATTGTCATTTTCATTTCTACGGCTCATATATATGTAAAAAAGTGTCTCCCTCACCTTCAAACGTCTACTTTTAACCTAAATGACAGTTTCCGATAGGTAAAATTTTTTTTAAATTGGTATTTCTCTGGAGCACGAAAACTTCACATTGAATGTAACTGAATGTAGTTTTTTTTTGCAGTGTATAGTTCATATGTGGTATATCAATGTGGACATGCAAATATTTCTATTTTCCCCTTTATTACTGTGGTCCATTATTCTTTATCCCAAGAAAATGCTTTTTATTGGCCTGCCCTTGTTGACAATAATTTCCACTGTGGTAGTTTTTCTCACTGTGTATATTAACGAAATTGTATGGTAAGGATATAACACGTCAATATAACGGTATCCAGTAATACCCTGATATAAGAACAAGTACTAGCTTGAAAAATAGAAAAGTTATGTATTCATACAATTTTATTGAATTTTATGAAGCCATCGTTATCTACAATATAACTTCAACTAAACAAATTAGTGTTTTCGTAAGCCAGTGATTTTCATGCTGTATTTGATCTATCAATTTACTTCGGGGTATTATTGTACACAAAATACAACACCATTTCAAATTAAAGCAACCACTTAAGTAAAATTTGTTTTGAAATAAACATAAATATCTGTAATTATTTTTAGGTAAAGTTTAAACTATAATAATTTTGTAACAGTGATTCTAAATTAAAATTATTTTTGCTTGGACATTTCCTATACAAATAGATAATGTTTGGCCATATCGAAAAATAAGTTTGCTTTTTAGGTATTCGAGTGATTATTATTACAAATATTATTTTGTAACGCACACACATTTAGCCCCGTGGTTTATTGGAATGGCGTTGGGCATCATACTACTTAACAGTAAAAATAAAAAGTTCCAACTAAACAAGGTAAAACAAAAAAATACGTTTTCAAACGATGAAGGTTCAATGTCTACCTGGCATTTGAATATTTTTAACTTTAAACTATTATTATTTGATTGCAAATTTTTAGTAAACAGACTTAGAGTTTGTACATTCTGCACTAAAAATCAATGATCAATAATAATAATGTTTTCAAAAGATAGAACTGTAGAAATGGTACACCAAACAGAATTTAAAAATATACAGTCGACTCTCGATAATTTGAAACTCAAGGGATCAGAGATAAATTTCAAATTACCAAGAGTTCAAAATAACAAGCGTTTAAGTAACTGTGAGGGGGAGGGGGGACTTAAATAAATAAAAGTTTGATCAAAATTCGTGATTTATTATTTCTATATTATTATTATTATGTATTAACAATTAAAGACAAGAATACAATTATTCACAAATTTTTATTTCGAAAAGAAGTCCGTAATCTTTTTTTGAGTGAGCGACTTCATTGTCCAAAGCTCCAAAGAATTTTCGATAGTGGTGAGAGCTGCGAAGTAATCGTCATTCGTGTGTCGATTCCGAGGGCGTAGATGCGTAGGGTAGTAAGACATTGCCTTGCCTCACTCAATGTGATTGGAGATGGCGGTTCTTTTTCTTCGTTTTCTTTCTCATCCTCGTCTAGAGGGACTATATTCATAAATTCGGCATCGGTTAGGACACCGTGGACACTGATGAACAAACGAGAGGTCTGTGCATAATAACGCTTCAAAGTATAGAAAGTAGGGAAGCCCGGACGTCAAATTATCGCATGTTGGCGAGCAAGATAATTCTCCTTCAACTTCAAATACCGAGAAGACCAATTAACATTGATTTTATTCAATTTATCGAGTATTTTTCAAGGGTCCGGAAAAGAAATTAAATTATCGAGAGATTCAAATTAACAAGTGTCAAATTATCGATAGTCGAAAAATTAAAGTTTATATTTCTATCTGAATTATTCTTAGAAGGATATTTATCTAGAAAAAATAGGACTTAGAACAACACTAATTTCCCTATTTCTTTTTTTACCGATTATTTATTATTTTACTATTTAATTATAAATATACTTGATCCACCATTTATTTTTTTTTTTGAAATAACGATACAGTAGATAAGTACCCGTGTTCCAATTATTAAAAATATTTCTCATTGTAGATGTTAACTGCTTCTATTTGGTGTATTGTATTATTAGCTATTCCAATTTTGGTTTTGGCTCAACGCGATCCTACGTATAATTACGAAAGATTTAAAACTTCCATATGGACGGCTCTTCACAAACCTGCATTTGCTCTTTGTATTTGTTGGATTGTTTTTGCATGTGAAATTGGTCATGGAGGTAATATAACTATTTAAATAATAATGAACACGCCACTGCATTTTTCCGAATTAAAGCAGCATCTGGAAAACGTTGTAATTGATCAAAATTCATAGTATATATTGTACCTATATTGCTGGTTGAATACGATTTCAGCATACACTAGTTTGACTTGAGCAAAATTTTTAGATTCTTTGTATTTTTTTTTTGTTTTTTTTTTTAAGGTATAATAAACAAGTTTCTTAGCTCTTCTGTATTTCAAATATTTGGTAGATTGACTTACAGTATGTATTTGGTTCAGTTTATTCCCATTATACTGGACGTAGGTCAAATTAGGACACCATTGTATTTCAGCCACTTCACCGTAGTAAGTACAAACTAAAGTAAAAATTGGTTTTTCCTTGCTTTTTTTTCAATTTGTTTGAATATAATCTTTCCTTCATATTATTTACCTTTTCGTTTAAATTGATTCATAATTAAGTGTTGCAATACCTGCATATGTGATTAAATAGTATGATTAGATTCTTTATTTTACTAGCATTACATTGAAGCATTCATTTCATTTTTTTGATAGATGTAATCTGAATAAGTCAAAACGTATTAGGTTTATTAAAATTCATCATCATCATCATCATCCATCATAGGGTCGTCAGTCCTAAGACTGGTTGGACACGCATCTCCACCCTTTCCTAACCTGAGCTAATCTTCGCATTTCCCGAAAACTACAATACCCCACATCCTTTACTATTTGTAAACAATAATCTAATCTAGGTCTACCTCTACTCCTCTTAACTCCTCTTTCTATTTCTAATATAGCCCTTCATGCCTGAGAAGGTGTCCTACCAACATATCTCGTCTGTTTGTTACTGGCTTCCATAATGTTCTCTGTTCTCCTATTCTTTCTAATGATTCTTCATTTCTAACCTTCTCTATCCACGGTATCCTCACCATTCGCCTGTAACACCACATTTCGAACGCTTCTAACCTTTTCTTTTCCGCCACGCATCCATACAGCATCGCGCTCCAGACATACACCTTTAACAATCTTATTCGAATTTCTAAATTAACAATTCGCGAGCATAGATGTGACTTCTTTTTATTGAAGGCGACTCGATCGTATGCTATCCTAAATAACGAGAATCAGCCACTTCTAATTTTGCCTCTGCTATCTTTATATTCACTCTACTTTTTCTTCCCTTCCTTGTTTAACAAGGGCATCATTAAGGTATCCATTTGGTGAAGTGACTCCCTTAAATAGCTTATTTATGTGGATAACACGTAATCTCAATTAATGAAACTCGACATTATACAACTGAATACTGTTACCATACTGTATGTGTATAATTAAAGATACTTATCCAATTTTTTTTACACAAATCAAAAAGTCAAGTATTGTTTTTTTTTCTTTCAGACACGTTCATTTTTGGCTGATCTAGTGTTGACTACAATTCTGGCAATAATATGGACATTAGCATTTGAATTCCCTGTTAGAGCTATTGAGAAAATAATTTTTGGAAAAGGCAGTAAGTTTCAGATTATGCAATAGTTATTATATCAGAAACATAAATGTCATCAGCAATTTGTACATCTACTGAAGCTGATTTGTTTATGTAATCGAGAATTGAGAATATGAACATTTCACTATAAATTTAATTAATTGTCGTTACCGAATTTAATCAAAAAGTCCAATTAATTCATATAATTAATTTGATAATAGCATTCTAATTGACTGAATCAAAATTTATTCCAAATTATTTTTATTTATTTTCTCTATCTTGCAATAGGGGAAAAATAACACTAAGGTCATTGTTCTATCAAAAGCAAATTAACTTTAACGGAATTTATTGTTTATAATAAGTTCACATTAAATGTCTGATTTAATTTTATCGAATCGTATATCGTGTGTGTGTGTATCATGACCGAAGCCTGTAATAATACATATTTGCTATTACAGTGTTAAAGGTAATTCTAGCTTACTATGAATTTAAATTACAGAACGGAAAAAAGAATTAGGAAACAACAATGGGGATGTACCAACTGAATCTTCTGTACAAATAACATCTATCAAAATTAATCTTAGTGACAAATAACTACAATAATAAAGACGTGCGTATATGTTATTAATAAATCACGAATCAAAATGTAAAAAAGAAAATAAAACAAACAAAGGCAAAGTAGGCAACTGCCTCTGGGTCCCGTACCAATAAAATTTATAATTATTAATTAAAAACAGTTTCAATAAATTTACATCATTTGTTAGTTGTCACTTCATTTTTAATTAGTAAATTAAAACTTCGACTATACACTCTTATGTGGGCTCACATAAATATACCTAGGCCCCTTATTTTCTTAATCCGGCACTGATTATCACCACCTTACATTCCGTCACTTGTTTTTAATGTAAAATATTTATTTAAATAATATATACTGTTTATTAAAGAGCATGCTTCATTCGTCTTCCAACATTTTGAGGCATTTAAATTAGCTGCGAAAGATTGAGTAGGTTTTAATCATGCTAAGGTGC